CGCCCCACAGGTTGGTCTGGGTGGTGTGACCCATGCCTTAAGGCCAGGAGACTCCCAGAGACCAGCATGCCATGGGATGCCAGGCCAGGACGCAGTGCCAATGGCGCGCCCGAGGGCGCGGGCTCAGCTCGTTTGCGGGTGCAGAAGCAGTGCAGGAAGTCGTCCTTCGCCTTTTACCAGGCAGTGCGCGACCTGCTGCCCGTGTGGCTACTCGAGGACATGCGTGCCAGCGAGGCCTTCCACTGGGACGAGCGCGGGCGCGCCACCGCCTATTCGCCGTCGGAGGCCCTGCTGTACGCGCTCGTGCACGACCACCAAGCCTATGCTCACTACCTGCTGGCCACCTTCCCCCGGCGCGCCCTCGCTCCACCTAGTGCGGGTTTCCGATGTTGCAACGCACCGGGACCGCATGTGGCGCTGGCGGTGCGCTACAACCGTGTGGGCATCCTGCGGCGCATCCTGCGAACTGTGCGGGATTTTCCACTCGAAGAACGCATGCGCCTTCTGGACCGACGTGGATGCAGCCGTGTGGAGGGTGGTGGCACGTCGCTGCATGTGGCCTGTGAGCTTGCGCGCCCCGAGTGCCTCTTTCTGCTGCTTGGCCATGGAGCTTCTCCAGGCCTGCAAGACGGTGGTGGCTTTACACCATTGGAGCTGCTGCTGCGCCAGCTGGGCCGGGACGCCAGCTCAGTCCCTACTGCTGCTGAGGCCGCCTCTGCCACCGTCAACGCTGCCACCTCCAGCACCACTCCGCCTGGGGAGCTATGTCAGCGTCGCCTGCTGCTGCTTGACCTGCTGGCACTGTACACCACGGGGGGTGCTGCGGGCCCAGCTCGACGTGAGCTGTTGGGAGACCGGCTACGCTGGCAGAGGCTGCTGGGTGAGGACAAGTTCCAGTGGCTAGCAGGGCTGGCGCCACCCTCCCTCTTTGTGCGAGCTATGCAGGTGCTGGTCACCACCATCTCACCCGGCCGCTTCCCCGAGGCCTTGGATGAGCTGCCTCTACCACCCTTTTTGCAGCCATTGGACCTCACAGGCAAAACCTAAACTCAGGGGCACCCTTGGCACTGTATTTGGGGACAGAAGTATTTTTGAGAGTATTGTACCCAGCACTTTACATATATGGATCTCTGTACAGAAGAACCTGCCTGGTCTGTCGCATGCATTTTGGCTAGGGCTGCCAAGTCAGGCAGGCTCTTAAGAGAGCCTTGGCTCTTCACACTCCCGCTCAAGTGCACTGGCTCACTGCTCAGCTAAGGATATGGGTGAGGACCTAGAGTCCAGGGGAGGTGACAGCTGACCCAAACAGGAGAGGAGCGGGGACAGAGGGTGGGGACTGACATGACTGAGCAAGAGGACAGAATGTGCTGAGGCGAGAGCACAGGCTTGTGCAGGACTGACCTGCCCTGTGCTGTCAGCCTCATGAATGGCCCTTGGAGTTGGACTTGATTCTGTGTCCAGGACGAGCAGGGCTGAGCAGGCAGCTGTGACAGGAGTGGAGAGGAGGAGCCAGGCCCTGTGTGTGTTTGTAGTATCTCACTCTGAATCATAGGTTTCCCCACCCCGGCCTGGAATTGGCCCTGTCATCCCCTTTTGCCCTCAGGATTGGCAAGTGCTCGCCCTGGGCCTCTGAGCTCAGCTCTGGCACTGCACCTGCTCCACCATGGGCTGAGGGTTCCCAGCATTCTGTCCCATCAGGACCAGGAGTGCCTTCCAGGCCTCCTTCCCAGCCCCAGGGATGGGCTCCTCCCCCTCTCGCAGTGGATGTCGTGGTGCTTATGGGGCTCAGGGCTGGTTGTCGTCACCCTAGGCGAGCTTCTTGGCAGGCCTGGAGAGCTGGCTTTTGCTGGGAACTTGTGAAGATTGGGGGCTTGTTATGAATGCACCATCATCTTTCAGGACTGGGGAGGAGGGCCGGATCACCCTGACCAGGGATTTCGCTGGACTGTGAAATTCAACCTCTGTGGCATGGGCTTGTGGGCCATGATGTGCTGCCGGGAGTAGAAGCCAGCAGTCCGCTGTATTGGCCAGCCTGGCTGGGGCACCTGCTGCTCAGTGCTCCTGAGTACAGCATGCTTGGGGGTGGGAAAGTCCGGGGTACTGGGCCACAGGAGGGAGGGTGGGGAGAGCCGGGAGAGCCTGGCGAGCGGGAAGGGCCCTAGACCTTGCTGCCTCTGTTCTGGGCCCTACTATTACTGCCAAGGGATTTCAGGTCATTTCTCAGGCCTAAAAATGTGACACACACCCTATTAATTCCATAAGGTGAAGAAGTTACCAGCAGGTACTGATCCTACATCTAGATCGGAAGCTTTACTTCTGCCTAACTTGCTTCTCTAAGCCCTGGCAGTTGTGGGTGATGGATGCTAATGTCTTCCCCAACTCCAGGTTTGGTCCATTCACGGTTAGTCCCCCTGGACTTCTGGGAGGTTCCAGGTCCAGATTAAGGATGTCATTGATAGCCGGGCAGTGGTGGCGCATGCCTTTAATCCCAGCAGAGGCAGGCAGATCTCTGAGTTCGAGACTGGCCTGGTCTACAGAGCTAGTTCCAGGACAGGCTCCAAAGCCACAGAGAAACCCTGTCTCGAAAAAAAAAAAAAAAAAGCATGTCATTGATGGTGGTGTTTCCTTATTTACAGGACGGGAACAATGGCTTGCAGTAGCTCCTGGGGGAGCCTAGAAATCTGGGCCCCCGTTGAGAATGTTGACTTGCCCTCGTGTCTTCTTAGCCCAGTGCCCTTTGGGGTCTGCTGGTGAGGGCTAGGTGCACCTGTCTCCTTCAGGTAGACAGACTGCTGCTTTGTTGATGGCCTCTCCTGAGCTGCCTGACCTGGAGGAGGGGCAGTGCACTATTTAGGCCTTGTGGTAGCATCAGGGAAGATGCAGGGTGGAACCTTGTGGGAGGAATTGGCACCATAGGGCTTGGCTCATGGTGACAAGCACATAGGTGTCATGGTAGTCACCATTGCTGATTGGGCCCCAGCTCCTGTGCCTTGGGTGGGTACAAAGACAAAGACTCACTTGGGACACTGATTTGGTGGGGCCTCACTACTGGGAGGGGTGGAGAAGCCTCACCAGCCTCCTCAGAGGAAGGCCTGGTTCCTGTTCCAGATCTGTCACAGCTGCACTTCGGGAAGCAGAAGGCCTGGAGAGGTGGTGCCTCTCTGATAAGCACAGCCTCACTTATCATCCGGTGGTAGTTTCTGAGAGCGGAAGGGTGGGTGGCCCCAGCGTGTGTGGCTTATCTGTCCCCTAGGCTCCCCAGCCCCAGGAAGGGCCACCTTGTTGGGTGTTGCCATCCAGGCCATGAGCTTGCAGTACTGAGCAGATCTGGAGGGGGCTATGCCAGGCTCTGTGCTGACATCCACTACCAGCTAGTAGGAGGTGATCACGTCTGTTCTTCCCTTGGTTTATTTGCTCGCTTCATGAATTTCACCTTTCACCAATGTATCCTGCCCCAACAAAATGTTAAATGTGTCCCCAGGAGATCTGTACCACACCCCAGTTAGGGAATTCAGGAGCTAGATTATCTGGCCCCTGATGCCTCTTTGGAAGGACAGAAACTGAGCCACAGTGAGGCTCATTACTCAGTGCCTCCCCTGGACTTGGAAGGGCAGACCTGCCCTGGTGCTGTGGCCTGCTGCCGCCTCCACCCTTGGCTTGTGCCACTTTCCACACCGACTCCATCTGCTTTAACCTTGGCTTTGTTTCTGTGCTAGTCGCAGCTTTGGCAGTACTTGACTTCAAACCCTTTACAGACAAGGTGGCTCCCCAGGAGGCAGGAAGGAAGCACATAGGCTGGACCAACTGCAGACCACCACAGTAGTGCTTGGCTGTGATCCCAGCACAGAGGATCAAGAGTTCATAGCCAAGGGCTGGAGGGGCTCAGTGCGTAAGAGCTCTTCCAGACCCATGTTCAATTCCCAGCACCCACATACAGCTTAAACAGTCTGTAACTATCTCCAGGGGATCTGATGCCCTCTTCTGACCTCACCTTAGACACCAGGCACACATATGGTGCACACCTGTGATCCCAGCACTCACCGGGGTGAGGCAGAGTTCAAGGTTATCATTGGCTATGTCTCCAGTTTGAAATCAGCTTTAGTTATGTGAGACTGTCTCAAAAGATTATCAAGGTCAGCCTAGGCTACATAATGAGTTCTAGGCTACTCCTGCCCCTCTCTGTTTCAAAAAAGTAAACATCAGTAATTGGTACTGGTGCCACGCCCCCACCCTTTGATGACTTGGCTCTGACTATAAAAACTTGAGATTTGACTTCTGCATGATAAAACACAAAGGCATCAATTTGTGACTTGATGAGTTATGACTAATGTCTGCACAGATGTAACCACTATCCCAGTCAAGGAGGAAGTGGAAATTTCTACCTCCAGTGAAATCTAGACATTTAATTTTTTCCTGTGGGTAAAGGTGCTTGCCCCCCAAGCCTGGAATCCTGAGTTAATCCCTGGAACATGTGTGAAGGGGAAGGACGCAGGACTGACTCCACAATGTTGCTCTCTGACTTGTGCTAGCATGCACATCCACACACACAGCACAAAACATACAAATGGACAGTGGGATTGTGGGGGAAGTCCATGCCTGAGCATGGCTAGGCTTCTGTTGAGACACACTTGTCACACTGCTCACCGCTAGCTGCCTGCCCAAGCAGCTTGGTGTTTTCTTACAGAGGTTTTTTTTTTTTTTTTTTTTTTTTTTTTTTTTTCTGGGGGTGTGGTAGTGTGAAGGACAATGCTGAGGAGGTGGAAACATACTATGCCAAGTGTTCCACACTGAACCATCCCCCCCACCCCACAACTCAGTATTTTTAAGATCATCATGGTAGGGGCTGTAGAAATAGTTCAGCAGTTAAGAGCACTGGCTGCTCTTCCAGAGGACTGGGGTTCAATGCCCAGCACCCACATGGCAGCTCACACCTTCTGTAACTCCAGTTCCAGGGGACCTGGCACTCTCACACAGAAATACATGCAGGCAAAACACCAATGCACATAAAAACAAATCATTAAAAAAGTCACCATGGTATAAGCATTTCCCAGTATTTTATGAAAAGGATTTTAAAAACGTGTGTGGTGTTGATTTTGTGGTATTTGACTCAAGTACTGTTAATACTGAAAAATTAAGAGAATTGAGTTTCTAAAATGTAAATTTTATTTAGTTTTGAAATAAATAATACATTTACATGGCTCAACATTCAAAGGATAAAAAAGACACAGACTTGGAAACAATCACTGGCCAGCTGCTTGTCCCAAGTGAGAACTTGTCTCTGCCCCTCCTGAAGGGCGAGGCACAAGAAGCACCCCCACCACAGTGTCCTCCTCTCTCTGCAAACCACGCTGTACTGACAGGTTAGAAGTTTCACCGTGAGATGCCCTGCTGGCATACATCCTGTGGCCTTACAGGCCTGTGTTCAAGTCCACAGACAGTGTCACCTTCTCTGTTTTATTATTCGTTGACATTCTGAGTACTGAACCTGGGGCAGCAGCGTGCAGGCCAGGGCTATAGACACACGTCCCAGCTGACGGTTCTCGACAGCTCAGAGGAGGCCAAAGTGAGGCTTTTGGTTCAAAGACCCTTCAGAGGCTTTCCCAGAAATGTTTGTGCCTATGAGTTAAGACAAGTTCCTGCAGTAAACATTCAACATGGGGACCACACTTGTGGCGATCATGTCCCTTTTTAAGTTTAGTGTTTTTGAGACAGGCTCTTACTGTGTGGTCCAGGATGGTCCGGAATGCAGGCACGCTGTGGGTCCCTGTAGGGTTTCTGGTCTGTGCTGTGGTGTGCACGCTCAGTTCATCACTACTAAGCCACATCTCCAGCCCCACACGAATTTCTGACTTACAGGTTCTACACTTTGATCTGTAAAGATCTCCATATGGGTTTCGTGTGGTTGTCCCAGCATTTGGGTGTACAAAGCACTTGCCCTCCGGAAGGCAAAGGCAGGTTTCCCGTGCTAAGTGGAAACAGTAGGCACAGCAGCTGTGCAAGCCCAGCCATGCTGGCATCAGCACAGGTCAGCAGATTCGCCAAGCTAGGTCCTGGCCCATGTTCACTGTGTGATTGTGAATAAGGTACCCAGCCTCTCTAAGACTCACTGGCTAACCATGCTCTCCTTCCTGGGAGGGGACAAGCTAGGAGACTTGAGCAGTAAATCGGGGTCTATGTGGGCACTACCATGATTTTAAGAATTCCCCTGTCTAATAGAGAGATCCCAGTGGGGATTCTCAAAGTCTCAAAGACTTCATTGCATGGAGTCTGACATCTTAGCAGGACATGGTGGAGCACACCTGTAATCCCAGAACTGAAAGGTGGAGGCAGGAGGATTAGAAAAAGCAATCTGTGGCTAGCTAAATAGTGAATTGGAGGCCAGCCTGGGCCTCATAAAACTGTCTCAAAACAACAACAAAAGGCTGATGTCCAAGGACAGCCCTTCGTTCTGCCTTCTTTGGGGGCATTCTCTCTAGGGCTGCCAGTGGGTGTGTCCATCTGTGGAATAGCCACTGCCCACTATACCATCCGGGGAAGCTGGCTCAACACCATCCAGGTTCTGAGACCAGGCAGAGGGGCTCTGCTGCAGTGTGGCTGGGCTGGGCTTCTGCAGGCCTCCTCGCTCAGTCACTATACTCAACATTTGAGAAACGTCTAAGATTCTGCATGATCTCAAAGCACAACACAACAAAACAAAACCAAAAAGAAAATCATAGCCGGGCGGTGGTGGCGCACACCTTTAATCCGAGCACTCGGGAGGCAGAGGCAGGCGGATCTCTGGGAGTTCGAGGCCAGCCTGGTCTACAGAGCTAGTTCCAGGACTGGAACCAAAGCTACAGAGAAACCCTGTCTCGAAAAACAAAACAAAACAAAACAAAAAATCATAGAAAGCACAGAAGCTCAAAGTAGTTTAAAAGTGTCTGTTTAACTTGGGTTTAATTGCACTATTGTCCCGTGGGCTTAGGGGGCTGCTGCCATTGTGAGGGGCCAGGCAAGGCACGCTGTTCACAGAAGAGGTGCAGCCCAGGTGGGGCTGCCTCTGCTGTCAACAAAGTCTATAACTAAGTGCAACCAGGACTCTCAGCAGCTCGTCACTGCTCAGACCTGGGAGCCTCTGCTTCATGACTGCTAGGGCCTTGACCTGGTGCTTAGTGGAAAACAGACATCAAATAACTGCCTGGACCAGGCGGACTAAAAAAAGGCAGCCAGTGTGGAGTAGTGACAGGGACCTCCTGGGTGGGGGCAGCAGGCTCAGGGAAGGACACACAGTGGACAGCCTGCCCTGAAGCTCAGATGCCTGAGCAAAGAATGCCGCTGTCCCAGCTGTGATTGGAACATGGCACCTGTGAGCAGGAGACACTGTTTCCACCTGCTGGGGAAGTCAATGCTATGCCCACTGGATACTGGCTACTCTTGGGTTGAGGACATGATAGGGGATGGCCACGCTTGCAAAGCTATAGCCAAGACAAGGTGGACTTAGGATAAACCTCCTGAAGGAACAAAAGACCTTCACTGTTTCCAGAAGATAGACCCATCTTCTGTTTGGAGGTTGCATCTCAGATGAGGTATCTTATTCAGGTCTGTGATGTGGTAATGAGAGGCAATCACTACATCTTCTGGAGGTGCCTGGTTTAGGGTGCCCACTTGCACACTAGTCAAAGTCTTCCCCAAGATGTCTCTAGATTGGTCAGCCCCAAATCTGATCAGCATCCTGTGCTGGACTAAATGGACCATGTGGGCAGGAGGTGGGCAGCTACCCTGAGTGTGGGCAACATGATGAGGCGAGGGTATGTGCGTGTATACCCTTACCCTGCACAGTCCAGTACCCCTCTATCCTGGACGGGTACTTCTCACCGGGATGTCTGGTGTGGGATGTACACTGTGGCCTGTATCTCTCGGAGAGATGTGAGGGACCCTGTGAGGAAGTCAACACTGTCACCAGACACATCTAATGGCTGCGAGCTCTGTGTGCAGGCCTGTTTGGCCTGGGTTCTGGTATGGACATGTGCCTGACACTTCCTGGCTTTGACTCATCTGCCTGTGGCGGTGTCCCTGTTGGCCCCACACCAGGATCTGGAGTTGCTGAAGATAATTTACTGTGGTGCACAGGTGACTAGTGCATGCGAAGGAGCAGCAGCAGCCGCTGCGCCCACTTGGAGGTGACCTTGGCGAGCTGTCAAAGGTGCCGCTGCTCCAGCGACAGCTCCGGTGCACGGCTGAGGCTGTGAGTTCTGGATGAGGTGGAAACAAATACAGATGAAAGCCCGTGTGGGGTGTCCAGCCTGGTGGAAGAGGCGTGCCCATAAGCGAGCCACTGGGAATCAGCAGCGTCCTCCACAGAGCCTCAGCTCCTCCCTGATGGCTGCCTGGGGCTCCTTCAGATGACCTCCCACTCGTCCTCCAGGTCCTCAGGGTGGGAGGTGACTGCCTGGCTGTTCTTCTGGGTACTGTGTGAATGGCTGAACGTCTTTGTCAGTCGCTGGAGAAGATAGCCAGAGGAGCCCACTGCCCATAGCTCGTCTGATGAGGTCACTGCAAAGATGACAGCCAGTCAGTCTGAGACAAAGCACATAGCTGCTGAGTAGGGCCCTGGTCCAGTCTGGACTTGGTGACATTCTGGCTCAGAGATAGGAAGAGCCAGTCATTTCCCGATTTGAGCTTTGTTCACTCAATTTAACTTCTTAGCTGTTTTTTGAGACTCACATTGTATCCCAGATTGGCCTGGAACCCACCATGTAGCCCAGGTTAGCCTAGAACTCACAACAATCTCCCCCACAGCCTTTCAAGTGCTGGGACTACAAGTGTACGTAGCTGCACCAGCAGTTTGTTTCAAGCAGGGCAGCACCTGTTCCTGTCAGGTGACTTCAGAACCCATGTCTAGCCCTCCCACAGGTGACCTTGTCCTTGGTCTGGCTGTAGGGTGTGGAGCTGAGTTGGGGCAGCTCTTTCTGTATTTACCACCTACCCCCAGGAGATACCAAGTCCCCAGCACTTGCCTGTGAAACATGAGACACTTCCAGGAATTTTCTTCCAGTAGTCCCCTGCAGGATTTTTGTCTGTGATTCCATAGCGGCGGGCGAGGTCACCATTTGGACAGCGGGCCCACACGGTTCTGGTGCTCAATGCCAACTGGCAGGCCTGTAACCCTGTGGGCAAACTGGGTATCAGCTCATCTCTGGAAGACATTGGACAGCGCACCCTTCCCAGTGCTGCTCTTGCCAGACACTGATTTGGTCACCAGGACTTCTGTACGGTGACACTGTATGATTCTGGGTACCAAGGGAAAGGGTGCCCCAAGCAGGCTAGCCCAGCCACAGATGGGCCTGCGCACTGAGAAAGCTGTATTCCCACTGTGTGGGGGACAATGGGACACTCTTTGGATTGTCCCTACCTGGCACATGCTCCCAGTCTGTCCCCACAGGCATCTCCTCAGTGATCCCAGTTCGCACGTGCACATTCCATCTGCTATCCAGGGCCCACAGCATCTGGTCATTGGGGCTAGAATGGACGCTGACCAAGGTAACCCCAGCAGGCTGGAAACAAGAAGGGACAGTCCTCAGAGAAGGGCAAGAGCTTTAGGGAGCCGGAGGCACACCAGGAACTGCAGCAGGCCAGCTCAGCATGCGGCTGGGTGGAGCGGCAGTCACAGCAGAAGAGGCAAAGTTGGGGTGGCTCCTTGGTGTTCTGCACTTGGCATTCTGTCTCACAGGAAAGAAAGACATTTACCAGGCGATCCTCATAATGTTACACAAACAAGATTATGGGACACCGTACCAGACATCTTCAGCTGGCGACAGAGAGGCAGCGTGGTCTGGATAGGGGAGTGACTGACATGAGGAAAAGCTGGAACTGCAGCACACAGAGAAGCCGCGTTGGGACGACCCCATCTGATGCTGCAGGCAGCCGCTACACCAGCAGAAAAGGTACTGCAGCTTGCTTGGGTACAACCTGCCCTTGGTCTTCCTAATGTTCACTAAACACATGGGCAGCCTCGCCTGGCCAGCTCACCTTGGCCCTGACATCTACCTGGAGACTCTCCCTTAACTCTGAGTCCTCCTGTCGCACCTTCGCTGCAGGTGACATTTCCTGTGGTATGGAGATGGAGGGGAGAATGCTGACAGGAGCTGGCCCTTAGGTAGGCGCCAGGCTGGCTGTGCATGCCATGGTGTGCTGTCAGCTCTTCAAAGGCTAGAGCACATCCCTGCAATGTCGCTTGCTTTGCTGGAGCAGGCCACTCTGCAGAGTAACAAAGCCCCAATGTTTCGGAGAGCAGAGTGACCTAGAGTCCAGGTAAATAACCAAAGCCTTGAAGGACTGGCCGTCCCCGGTGCCGATGCTTCCCTGCTGCATGCCCTCTCATGGCTCTAGTTTCCCGAGTTCTGGCCAGTTACTCTCCGACGGGTGGTCTCTGCTCTGTCACTATGTGGTTATGATGCATGCTTCAAGCCACATTCCACTTAGCTCATGTCACGATGTTGACATCACACCCCTGCTGGCTCGAGCTGCCAGACTCTCTCTCCCTCTGTGGAGAGCTACGCATCCCCAATGTCTACTGAAGCACTCAGAACCTGCCAACTTCTCACCCACTGGCCATTCTCAGTGGTGGCTTTCTACCCATCATCAGGCTCATCTGACTGGATGAGCAGAGCACCAAGTACAGAAGGAGTGTGAGGGTGGAGGGGTAGGAAGAGAAGGTAGATTAGGCACCTGTGTTATATGGATGGTAGGGAAAGAAGGGTTGTCAGAGTCAAGGCTGTAGAGTACAGGGCTGTAGCAGGATGCCACAGGGCTCTGTACGACCCTGCAGTGTCATAGAGAACATAAAACAGCAGCAGAAGAAACCAGAGTTATTTCAAAAGTCACCTTCTAGGCCTGCAGGGTCAAATATGTCACAGAGGGTCTGCCTATTCTAGATCTGCAGTTGAATGCCCATGGATCACCACTGGGTATCAGCTCATCTCTGGAAGACACTGGACAGCGCACCCTTCCCAGTGCTGCTCTTGCCAGACACTGATTTGGTCACCAGGACTTCTGTACGGTGACCAGCTCAGTGCCTGGGCCTGCTGCTCATGCCCAGCTTTACAGTGCTGGTTGTGCCCAAATAATACACCTTAGGGAATCTCTCTGAGCAATATGCTTACTCTACAGTTTGAGCACACGATTCCTATTTCTACCCCATAGTCTGGGATCATAGGGTACAGATCTTGAGGAGGGCTGTTCTAGGTCAAGTCCCAGTCCTACAGGGTGACAGGCACAAGAGTAGGGATGGAAGAGGCTGTCCCACTATACACTGGGCAGAGTGAGGAAGGCGGGCTGCTGGGCCCCAAAGCACTGACACAGAGGAGGGGTCCTGGGCCCAGCCTGCCAACACATCAGTGCTGTTTCTATTTACCACACTAGCCATAAGCACCTATGAATCTACAATTACAAACACTTCATACTGTGCATACAGAAGTTAAGCGGGGTGGAGAGACGGCTCAGGGGTTAAGAGCATTGTTCAATTCCCAGCATCCACATGGCAGTAGGTGCCATCTGACATCTGTCTGTAACTCTAGTTCCAGGAGATCTGACATCCTCACACAGACATGCATCAGGCAAAACATCAATGCATGTAAAATAAAAATAAGTTATTAAAAAGAAAAGTAAAAAGCTAGAATTTTGGCTTATTTAGCTTTAAAACTTCATATAAATTAAAAGAAAAAAAGGAAGAAAGAATACAAGTTGTACAATAGAGTAAATAATTTAAGAATAAGGACAGTGAGGTAGCTCACTGGTAAAGGCACTTGTCACCAAGCCAAGTCCCAGGACCCAAATGGCAGAAGAAGAGAACTAACTCCGGCAAGTTGTCTCCTGATCTCACATGTGTGCTGCAGCATGACCCCCTCCCACAAGACAGCTAAATGTGAAGGCAGTTTTTAAAAATTCAAGAACAACATGGGAACATTAAAGCCCACATAGAATCTTGGTGAGCTGAGAGAAGGAGCAGCTACCTGTGTGTACATGCACACACTTGTTGTCATTTAAAAGGCTACAGGCTACAGGTGGGAGGAACCAAGGCCCCTTTCTGGAGCAGTTTAATTATAGCCATCAATATGCTTAAATGATTATAGATCAAAGGGACTGCTGGTGACTAGAGCTTCCTTTAAATACAGTATGGTAGGGGATGCTGTCCCACACCCCCAAATGATAAAGCCCCAGAGTCATCCCTCATCACTAGAAACAACCAAGGCCACATTTTCTTCCTCCTAAGCACCCCCTTTGCAGGAGTAGCCATTCTCCCCATTATCAGGTTACAGATGGTATCACTATGATCTAGACACAGCAGCTCTGTGGACACTTTCCTAAGCTGAGAAGAAAAGCCCCAATGTGGGCTGAGGAAGCTGTTTGGGGCCACAGTGAGGGTCTCAGGTCCTGAAATAAGAGGGTCACCTGAGCCAGGCATGGTAGAGTACACCTTTAGTCCCAGCACTCGGGGAGTAAGAGGCAGGCAGACCTCCAGGTTCAAGGCCAACCTGGTCTACATAGTGAGTTCTAGGACTGTCAACGTTGCACAGAGAAACCCTGTTTCAAAAACAAAACAAAACAAAAAAGGGGGATCCCTAGGCATCAGGTGCAGTTAAGTTCTGCTCCATTTATATTAGGTTAGTTACCATAGACAAAGCCTGGTCCTAGTGTGTGTGTGTATGTTCATGTGTTTATAGGAAAATCCAGGACCCTGTGTATTCTAAGCAAACTCTCTACCACTGAACTATATCCCCAGCCCTAAGCTCTTTGAGATAGGGTCATGCCATGCCAAGTTGGCCTTTAAATCATAATCTGCCCTGAGTGCTGGGATTTCAAGGTGCAGCACCATGCCCAGCAGGTATGAATTAGCACACTGGGCTTGGTACCTTCCCATGTGGCACACACCCGTGGGAAGGACTTAACTGATTTTTCAAGAGAAGAGGCTGCTGTGACAGGAGGCACAGCCACACCTCTGTCAGTGGAAAGGCACAGTCTGTATGTGTTCCCGGCCTACTCACTGGCAGTTACCACTAGAGGCCATTTCCACTGCTATCACAGGCAACAGGCCCTGTTGGACAGGCTGTGCGGCTTGCTCCAGTGCTCCATGGCCCTGGTGCATGCTAAGTCCAAAGAGCCATCAGGATGGCTCCAGGGCCTCCACAATCACCACCGTCAGGGTGGTCCTCTGCCAGCTCCTTAGCTCCCTCTGTGCCACTCGCTCTCCCCCTGACTGACAGGTTCCTAGGGAAGGCAAGCCATGCTTTGTATTTCCCCTCAAATAGCTCCTGTGTTTAAGCTTTTGCTGCTTGAGAGATGTTAACAAGATGAGCAGAGCAGAGGCGCGAAGCCTGGGGAAACCCCACAATAACAATGGACAGTACAATTCACTTCAGCAGAAGAGCAAACGGACTCCGTTTAACACAAACTCGCTTTTCTGCTTCCTAGCCTCTTGGCTCCAAAGTGACCCACGAGGTCAGTCCAGCCCAACTCCTTTATATTCTGGTAAGAAAAACTACAGCACTAGCACCTGGAGCTGCAGTGACTGGGCTCAAACCAGAGTCCTTCAAACTGCCAAGCTGAGCCTTATCTCAATATGCCTACCTACAACCAGGAATTTAACGAGCATGTACATGCCTGCATACCCTCACCCTGAGCCCAGCAGAGGAACCGTTACCCAAGCAGAGTGGCCTGAGGCCAGTGGCACCTTAAAGACTTCCTTTTCTTTCTCCTTGGGTTCACTCTCCAACTTTCTCTCTTTTAACCTTTACTCCATTTGAAAGGTGACACAGCCCTAAACTTTCCTTTTCCCAGAGGACTCAGGGTCTCTGCTGTGTACTCTGATGTTCGCAGGTTTAAGCCTTAAGACACTGAGGTGTATAGGTTCACCTACGGGCTCCATGGTGGTGGCACCTACATTGATTTGTTCCTTAGTCCCTTGTTTTCTCTGGCAAACACTCTTCTGCTTCTGGTCTCTTCCCTTTTCAGAAAAGCTTGAAACCTAGATGCTAATGCCAGTGGACTTCCCATCTGGACTACAGCATGTCTCAGAACCCAGCAAAGAGCAGCATTTGCTAGTTATAGGGGATATGCTGCAAAAACACGCTTAGAAATAGGTTTCTTGGGCAACTCCGACATCCTGTCTTTCCTGAGTTGGTAGGTAAAACCAACTGGAGCACTATCTGCCCACTGCTGTGGCTGAGATACTGTCAGCATGCAGCACTGCCTCCCCACCCCCACCCCGTGTTCCTTACAGCTCGTTAGGGGGCTGCTAAAGGGGCCCTCACATAAACAACTTGTGGCTAGCTGGGGGGGAGGGTGTCCCTGGAAATGACAGCATCATCCATCTATCTATCTATCTATCTATCTATCTATCTATCTATCTATCTATCTTTTATTTAGGTTTTTAAAGACAAATTCTCTCTATGTAGTCTAGCTCTGGCTGTCCTGGAAATCACTTTGTACATCAGTCTGGTCTCAAACTGAGATCTGCCTGCCTGTACTTCCCAAGTGCTGGGACTAAAATCATCCA